TATTGTCCCATTTCTATGCACTAGGCACTGAGCTATTTACTTATCTCCTTCCACTACCAATGCAATTATGGCATCTGGCAGGTTGTGACTGGAACGGGCTCAAATGCGCGATGCTGATGTTGGTTGGTCTCCTTCCAGGCGCAAAAAGGAAAACAATGAACATCTTCTCACCTCATTCAGAACGCAAGCCTGGGCTATTCCCCACCATCTGACCTGGCGGATCTGTCTGTTGATGGGATACAAGCTGTTAAGTGCTGAAGGGAGCCAGCCGGCAATGCAATGACTGCCTCCTCCAGTTCTCTACAGCCGGGTCCAGCACTTCTCCTGCTGCTGTGAAGTGTAGCCATTCCAAGGCCAATAGTAAACAAGCACTTCAGGGTGATGTTGACCTAGGTTCTGTTCTTGGCAGCTGCATCCCAGTGGACACAACTGCAACGGTCAACCAGGAGGTGATCCTAGATCACCCAGCATTTAGCCCAGGTACATTTGGCAACACTATCCCTCACTATTTATGCTAATCAAACATATGGCTCTGAGACGAACCAGTAACCCCCCCCCGCCTCCCTACCCAGATCGGACTGCCTTTTTAGAAAGTGAGAATGTAGCAACATTAAAATTCGGTCAAAATCCATTGGAAATTTGGCCGAGAGCTAGTTTGACTTATCTGGACTATAAAAAAGCATGTTAGTCCCATAGAGGGAGGCATATACACACCTGTTTTTGTTTTTTTTTTTCACCCTCCAGCCAAGCACTTCTGCCTTCACATACCCCCCTCCCGGCCCCCTCCACACTCTGCTGAAAGCCATTACAGAAATACAATTTCTAATGCCTTCACACAGGTCTGCGATCGACTGCAAACAAATTTATATTCAGCTCGTAAACAGAGAGCTGCAGAGATTTATTTATTGAGCGGAGAGGAGAGAAACAAGCTAGCGCGTGAACCCTGGGTAACCCCACAGCTGACATGAAGATGGATAAGTGTACGATGCAAATGTACGGAGGGAAGGGATATATTGCACTCAGTCATTCAGCACATCGCCGCCTGTAGAATTCCATTAACTCCTCCAGCTGCGACCGTATCTCTGGGCTTGTATGAGCGCCACTATACATTGATGATTATTTCCAATTGTTTTTTAATCACTGCCAAGCAATAGTAAAACCCTTTATTGGACCTATAAGTGGATGTTCCTTCCTGCCTTCAGTGCAGTACTTCACGTGGAGCACTTACAGGTTACAAGTGAATGAAAATGAATATGATCATGAGCATTTTATCTTAATTTTTCCTCATTTTTAGACACTCAGTTCTCACAGGTATTGCTTCTATTATCATTATTGTTACTGACAATAAACAAAATGCATTTCATTGATTTCCTCTCTGTGGGACCTCGCCTGAGCTTTGCTGCACATATTTGAAGTTTAGACAATTGCAAGTGATATATGCAGTTATTACTGGACCTCAGACAATATAGTACTGGAAGTGTGTGTATGTTTCTTCTGCATGTCAGGCTGAGTGTTTGCGTATGTCATTTGCATGTTGTGTAATGGTATATGTGTGTGTGTGTGTGTGTGTGTGTGTGTGTGTGTGTTTCGTGCATGTTTTGCATTTCTTTTCTTTCTTTTTTGCTAAAGGGCTGCATACATTATTAAGTTGACATCCAGCTGATTGGGCTATCTGGAGTGAGTCAAAGCAGAGCTCGAAAAAAATGAAGATTCCCCATTTCAAACTTAATGTATGGAGAAACATTCCCCCTGGACAGAACGTCATCTGTGGAGTTCTCTGGTTTGTGTCTGCTGTGATAAAGTTTTTGACATTAAAGAGGGAAAAAACTGTAAGAACTTTTGACCTTCGGAAATCCATCCTTTAATATTTGAGATAACATGATGGTGACTTATGAGAGCTGTGGTGAAGACGAATTTAGAAACCGCAAGGACTACAATAATTTCATGGATACTCAAAGGTCCCCTGCATTATAATTGACTACACATACAGTGGGCTCGAAAAGTTTGAGACCACATTAAAAATGTTGGTTTTTCTTTACATTTGGAAACAAACAACAGAAGGTTTTAGACTTTTGAAAAATCTACAAATTTTCAATTGATGTTCAATTGAAGTTTGTGTTCAGATTTTTGTTGATGTTCTGGGTGGAAATTAGTTAACACATCCTCTAAAAGTAATTACCTTAAATATGACATTTTGCTCCAAATATTAATGTCATAATTTCTATTTATTTAATGAGATTCACATATTGCACAGGCCATTATGTTACATTATTCAGCAAATAAACATTTGCATATAAAATATGCAATGAGTGTTTCCTGTAGAAGATCTGTTAACCTAATTTCACCTAGAAAATCAAGCTTTTGCATACAACCGTATAAATATAGCCCATACACAGTGGTGTATATACACAGGTTTGGTTCCTGGCTTCTCCAGCTAGATTGGTTCAATTCCACCCACAGGACTCATTTAATTCAATGAAGGGTTGATTTTAACTGTAAATACTGGACTTTCTAGAGGAGAGCTTTGGAAATGGTCATTTATGGAAATTGATTTTTTTTTTAAACAAATAAATGTTTACTACTCAGACGAAGAGCTTTACATATAATCTTACTATCAACATACATTCAGTAATCCTTAGTATTGGCTGTTTTGACTATTAGTATTGAATATATATATATATATATATATATATATATATATATATATATATGTGTGTGTGTGTGTGTGTGTGTGTGTGTGTGTGCGTGTATATATATATATATGAGAGAGAGAGAGAGAGAGAGAGACAATGAATATGTTTTGCCAACCAAAGGATGTGAACATGGGATTTATTATCTGAAACTCAGTTCTATTCATGCCAGCTAATATGTCTAATACTGTTTAGCTCTGTCTTCTTCATGAACAAGTATAAATGACAGGAGTGTCTTTCCATGATGAAAAGGGTTGGATCTTTTTCTTAAATATTTGGACATGTGTTCATACAACACAATGAGACAGCGGGCCCCAGAGAAACAGACTAAACAGTTTAGCGCTGATGAAAATAAACGTCGTGCGTGTTACGTGTTAAGACAGCACGACCAAGACTCGCATCAACGTTTAATAAAAAACGTTTAAAATGTATTATGTTTCTCAGAGCTCGCCCCTCTCCGCGTGGAGGAGGTTCAGCAGGGTCTCTGGGGCCGTCTATCGGTGATCAGCGAGACCTGGAGGGGGTGTTCTCTAAAATCGGTGAACACCTTCACATTTCCCCGCTCCTTTAAGATTCAGAGCAGGCCTTCATAAAGATCTACCGCTGCGTTTGAATGGGCTTCTTTCAATTTAAACTGCCTTTAAAGCAGTGAGGGCTTCTACCGAACACCTCTGTTTACCGTGCGAACTAAATCTTTAACTGGGGCCATTTCCTGTTTCTTGTTAGGTGAAAATGAAATATACTGTTAGACATTATGTTTTATATATATATATATATATATATGGAGAGTGTTTTTGTGTCTATATAGAACATGTTTGAAAATGTGAAAATGATTGCATACGCTTGATGTCGTAACAATAGAGGAACCCTTTTTGGTGCTATAGAACCAAGGTTCTTTTTTCAGGTCTACCTTTCCTGTTTATAGAGAAGATTCAGTAGTACAGAGCTGTTCTCTCTAATATGGGCGGCAGCTGCTAATTATCATTTGGCCGGTGGATGACCTGAGCGCAGCAGCTGTGTGGATGTGGCTCCCTCCCCATACAATGAGCTCCTGACTCCGCTTAGCACAAACACAAGAGCTGCTCTGAGTTCACAGAACTAGAAGTGGGTCTCACATTTTAGGATAATATCATTCTAAATTTCATGAAAGAGAGAGAGAGAGAGTGAGCTAATCAAAGCCTCTCTTTATCTGCTGCTAAAACCCGCCTTTATTAGCTACATCTTTGGGATTAGTGAGTAAATCGCTTATTATGATTTTGAATCATTTTGCGCTGACGTCACTGCAGAGGGACTCGACGAGAAGGTTAAACTAGTATCGTCCTTCTGACTCGGTTTGGTGAATGAAATGCCACATCATGTTCATTAAAATGTCATTGTTTTATTTCATTGTTATTTATGTGTATAACTACATTTATAAACCAACAGTGTTTTATTGTGTATGATTGTGCACCTTGTTTGCTGATTGGCCGTAAATATTTTGGAGAAAAAAATAAAAATGACCTGAAAATGTGATTTTTTTTTTCCGATTATGTGTTTCTGATGTGATCTAATGTGATATCAGAAATAATCATGTTTTGACTGCTGCAACTGAACAATACAGCATGTATCGGAGAGTATTATATTTGAATCAAGATACATAGAAATCGATCGAGTAAATAAATGAACAGTAATGAACAGTAAATATATATGATCATGAAAAACATACAAACACACATGCGGCCTATTTTAAATCCAGGAAATAAAGTTAAAAATGAACAGTACAACTTCGACTGCTCATTGCTCTTTCATGAGCTATTGACCCACGCTGAGGACGTTAATCCCTGGGTTCAATTCATTTGACGTCAGCAAGCCTCAAAGCCTCAGAGCTGACCAACAGAAATGTCCAGGTTTATTTGTAAGCTGTGACAACAAGGCCTAAAAACAGCCAAAGGACAAATAAATATATTTAACATTTTAACATTTGAGTAATAAACCTAATATTGAATAAATACATAATGCCAAAAATACATAAATTCTCTAAAACATATTAAAATGTATTTACTGTAAGACTATATATAATTTACGATTCTCTACTACATTATATTATCTTAATGGTTCGTGTAGGTTAAAGCAGTACACTAACATTATTAGTATTATTATTTCAACACTAATATTATTTACTCTTAATGCAATTAAGCATTAACCTACACGACCCTTCATGTGGTGTATTTCTTTTTTTACGACTATTTAAAGGTTTCCGAATGGTCAGTTTTGAAAAAAAAAAAGTTTAGAAAGTTTTGGAAAGTCCAGCTACTCGTTAACCCCCCTGCTTATAACGACCCTATTCCCATGCCACAGGAGTGGTCCGAAACCTGCTGCCTTTGGTTAATAAAAGCTCACTCAGATGAAGGAGATGTCCGGCTATTGGCCCACAGTTAGAGGGCACGTCATCCCCCATCCATCACAGATCGAATGTTTCTGGTCTCTTCGAGGCATGTCTGTCCAAGGTCCGGGATCCCTAAGCGCAGCCTAAGTGGTCATCTGTAGATGGGGCTACTACGGGTTCAAGGCTTTGGCCGCACGGAGGCTTCCAGGAGGGGGATGCTGCCATGAATTCTTATCAAGAGTTTGCGTGTGCCGGACAAACGGGAGTACAGTTTCCGAAAGGCAACTGTGCCCGCGAGGCCAGGCGTGGAGACCTGGACCAAAGGGCTAGTGCAGAACTCCGCTTCAGGCTGGAAGGGCGGTTCCTCGAGGACTTTGCCCACCACCATCGCTTTCCGTCTCTCTCGGACACCGGCTCCAAACGCTCTCGGGACCCCGGCTGCGCGGGCTCGAGCTCACCCCCCTTCCTCCAGAATGAAGCCGAAGCCTTCTACTGCCCCGGTCAACCTCAAGTCCCCTCCTTCGCGTGCACTGGTGAACAGGGTCTCTCCGGAGTGGAGCGCTGCCCCTCTTCAAACACCTTCAGAAGTCTGTCCGTTGAGCCTGGACTGGTCCACTCGCTCGCTCGCGTCCGTCCAAACGATGACACGAGGAATCATCTCGCATTTATTGAGGACGACGCCGAGCGCGCGCTTCCTCAGAAGTTCCACGAGAACATCCAAAGTGGGAAAACTTTCGAGTGGATGAGGGTGAAGCGAAGGCAGCCTCGTGTGGGTGAGTTGGGAAGTTCTTGGAACTTTTCTTTTTTGTTTTAATGGCGATGAATTTAAGATTTCAGTACATTCTTCTTTTATGGAGTTACTATTTCAGCTTTTTGTAGTTAGCACTCGTATAAGAATGCATGTATAGTTTTTGTGACGGGTTTAATTCAGTTACACGAGATTTCCCATTGATTATTCAAATTTAAAACAGCTTCAAAAGACTTTTCATATTATTTCCCCAAACACTTCCAACTGCATTTAAAATGTACAGTTTATAATAAGAATAGCAATGGCTATTCATATAATAGCTTATCTGGAACTGAATGCATCAACACTACCTACTCAAATGCATATGCAGTATGGACTCTTTTCATATAAACAAACGTACGCACGTTTGTTTATATGAAAAGAGTCCATACTGCATATGCAGCTTTGCCATTTGAAGATTAAACCATACAGTGAACTGTGCGTCCAACGCTGCAAGCAGAAGCAGGGAAAGTGATGAGTGGCAGTCTACTTAAGGCCAAACTCTTGGTCTGCAGACTTGGCAAGTGCCTGAGACTTCACTTTTACAGATTAGGCTACCCATCAAGAAAACTGAGCGATGAAATCCTTTATGGGGAAGTTTAAGAGGGTAAGAAATATTTAAAAACTGCAAGAGTTGGTGATCTATAACCTGCTCATGTGGGTCAGCAAAGAAGCAACGGAATACCATCAGGGAGAATTCCCCCTGCTTTTACATGACCACATTCACAGCACAGCCCTCTAGAACTGTGGAGACTTCTCAGTCTATTTAAGGGAGTCCAGCTCCCCCTAGCTCCCTGTCTATTTAGAGTCAAACAAAGTCCAGAGGAAGTTTCCTAATCCCAGTGCTTAATGCAGAACAATGATTATGATCAATTATGTGTTTGGAATAATGGCAGGGAAAAAACATAGCATCTTTCAAATATGTCAAGCAAAATCCAGGCCTAATCCTTATGTGGAGAAATGTTGAATAGAGCCTTCTGTGCTGTGATTCTAGTTTCAAATGTCCGACATCCTCCAATAAAATGTCACATTCAGTGACACCTGACCTCTATTATGTCCCAAGCTTTGCACATTTGCTGTGTTAACCTGAGGATCATTTGTCCCTCTGATCATAAATCACAGAAGCCTGTAATAACCATAAAAGCAAGATAATCTATATTTGAGATGTCGTCTCTTTTAAAATCGGCAATATACCACACATGTGGTGTCCATTCTACCAAGTAGAAGAGTGTCTTCGCAGGCCACTCTGATGATGTAAAATAACTCTGAGGCATATCCATCAGTCTAAAGGCCACTGAGAGCGTAAGACAGCTGTGGTCAGGAGACTTGGACGGTTTATGAAATCCCATAGGCTGGGATGGGGGCGAGGCCAGGGGCCCGTGATTTGTTTAGCGCACAGGAGCATCTGCTGCTTGTCATTTTGCTGCACATCCACCAAAACTCTTGGAAACCGCAGAAGTGTTGAGAATCGGACATATGTCTTTAGCTGCTCTGGGAAATAATGCGTTCTTCAGAAGGAAGAGCCAGGGAACACTGTTCATGTCTGGTCACAAGTTTGATTACAGCAATTATGCATGTCTGTCAACACCAAGTTACTGGGGTGAAGAATGTAAGTACATAGTGCTGGGCGGTACTGCTTCATAACAACCGGTTCTATACTGCTAAAATAATGTCTGACAAACCTGAATATTCCAATAATACTGTTTTATTCTGTTCTGCTTCTCATAAAATGACAGGAACATGCAAATTAAGCAGTATTGTAAATGTTAACCAAGCAGAAATGAGACTTTCGTATTTATTTGCTATTTATTCAGTTTGCATGTATTTTATAGGCCTGAGGCACCCAGCAAGTGACATAACTTGAGGGGAATTCCACAGATTTATCAATAATTGCATATAATTCCAAGTTTAAGATGCAAACAAAGTCATTCAAAGGGGTTTAATATGAAATGTACCATTCTTGAGAAACTTACCAAGTCTGAATTGCTCACAGTGGTGGTGGTAGGAACCAGACGCCTGAAGAGTTTAATGCTTCCAAAAACCCATAAAACGTTATTGCATGTAAATGTTCAAAAATACATTGACAATAAAAAACTGCGTTGTTTAACACTTAAAATAAAATAAATAAATAAATATATATATATATATTACATCCATTAATGGCAGAGAGGAATATGCAGGACATCCATTAATGGCAGAGAGGAATATGCAGGGCATTGTAAGGTAAAGTATCCCCCTAATAAACCATATATTTTTACAATGTTTCATCATAAGTAACTCTATAATACACACCAAAACTCTAAAGACATGTAGGTTGACAGGTTGTTTGGACAGTAAATAAAATGGCTTTATTTGCATTGGAGACATTGCGACTCCTAGTCCCAATATCAACCATAGTAAAAAACAATAAGCTAAGCTTCTGTACAACTAATAATTGCACATCAAACCACTCTGGATGACTGTTTACATCTTAACACCTGCATTGTGTAGAAATTTTAAAGCTTTTGTTAGCTATTAGTACTGTTAAAACTAAAAATTAGTATTGCAGTATGACACAAGTACTGGTATAGTCAATCTATCAGCCAGCACATAGGTCCATAGGCTTATAGAGATATAAAAATATACACTTTATGGACCTTTTCTTGAGTAAAAGGCCTTTTCCACTTGTGTGGGATTTGTGCTTGTATCCACATCTATTTTTTATTTAACTAAATCAACAAAGCATCATAATAGCATGTATCAGTTTCGCAATACTGTTACAACTTGTCTCAAGCCTAGGGCAGACAATGTTTGTCTGCATTTCAAGAAAAATTGGCCACCCACAGTGCCTCAGAGGTGCCTCGTTGGCCTCGTCATGCAGTTCATCTGCACAACACGTGGTACACTCTTAGAAAAAATGGTACTAAATCGTTACTGGGGTGGCACCCCTGACATAACTGGGGTGGTGCCCCTAAGGGTACGTCTTCAGTAGATTTAGTTAGGAAGCTTTTTGTTTTATTTTCCTTTCAAGATTAGGTAAAGGTAGAAATATGACCCTTTCTCTAGGAAAGGTAATACAGTATACTTTTAAAACTCACTAATAAGGCTATTAAGGTACCTCTGAGGGTACATTTGCATTGTTTGTACTTTGACGAACAAGAACGTATCTGTACAGTACCATTTTTTTCTGATAGCATAGTAAACACTTCCCACTGGCTATTTTGCTACAATACCGCTTTCTTAAGTGCTCAGTACAAAAATGAAACCATGATTACAGAATAAATGTGTTCAGCCAATCACCTTTTATGATACCACTCATTGAAAAATAAATTGCGACACCGATGATCAATAACAAATCCCAGAGATGCTTCGGGTTATTTGTCTTGCTAGGCAACGTTGGCCTATCTCCTCTTCTCTTCTAAACATGCATAAAAGCTTGCACCGACTCTGCGTAACTGGATCTCCCAGCATTTCGTACGTATTCCCACTGCGTCATTCTTCAATTATGCCCTGACAGCACCTGAATTACTGTGGGCTGGATGCCCAGATGACTGAGGCGATCTGTATCGATCTCCCCCCCTTTTCTTCTCCTCTCACTCAGGCTTTAGTGGGCCTCGTCATCCCCCTGGCTGGCTGGCCTTCTCCAAGTGGCCCTCTCCAACTCATTCCTCAAATATTTAGTTTGATTCCTTTATGCCTTTTGGCTACTGCCAATTCTATTATCCAAGACCTCATTTATCAGTGTTCATGTACATTTTTTTTGCCTTTTAGAAGGAAATTCCTTAATTACTTTATATTTCCCAGTGAATGCACTATGAGTTAGAATGTCCCTGAATATTAGAGGTGACCTTAAAACCACTTCTGCTCATCCATCTTTTTTATTCAGTCTGTTGGATTTGAGTTGTTTTTGCGAGTGAAATGAGAAGGGGTCTTCAAACAGTGCCAAAGAGCTGTCATAGACACACCATATTTCACTCCAGCGCTATCTACAGATACCTCCACAGATGAGACAAGAGTGCACGGGAGTGCGCACATTGTCGCTGCAGAGGTTGCCTGAATCCTGAAGGTGGTTGAGGTTAAACGACATTCTGCTCAGCCATCAGCTGCCAGTTAAGCCATATCTTGATCAATATTGCTAATGAAAGCAGAAACAAAGTAAATGCCTGAACCTCACCATGGCTTTTCTTGTCTTGCTGGAGCTTTGCCAGTCATGCTGTTGTGAGAAAGAACGTTATGAAATGACTCACTGATATGTTTCTTAAAATCCGTCATAGGTATTCAACTTCATATTTAACTAGGGTCAACTGATGTTAGCTGTGGTCATCGTATGTTGTCTTGTTCTTATGGAAACTTTGCATCTTACTCGCAGAAAAAAATCAGAACATTCCAATTCAATCTAATAGTCTTTGCGAACATGAATGGAAGCTAGTACTAATTAGCATCATGTCATTTGTATAATGCAACTTGGTGGCTTTTCATTTTCATTAATTGTGTGCATCATTAGCTTTTCTGACTGAACTGTTCAATTGCAGGGGAATTCCACCAAACAACTTTTCAAACATTTCAAAATCAGTCTTTGAAGTGTAAACAGAGTCATTCAGATTGTTCTGATGTGAAATGGTTCATTGTAGAAAAATGTATAGACTTAGAAACCAGGGGTCACAATGTCTATGACACAAATAAAGCCATTTTAACTGCATCCAAAATGACCAGTCAACCTAGACATTTATAGCTTTTATAAGTAACGTTGATAACAGTAAAATAGTGAAAATAGTTCTCTTTAGGCATTATTTTGCCTTTGAATGTCCAACAATGGATTAAAATATAATTTCCACCTAAACAATTTAATCTCAAAGATTTACATCTCAAATTTTCATGAAATAATGTCTCAAGCACAAGTTAATGTTTTCATAACCATATCATGTAACAACTTTCTGTAATACAGTTTATAGAGGCATTAAATGCTTCAGACATCTGGTACCTATCACCACTACTGTAAACAATCCTGAGTCAGTACTTTCTCTAAAACAGAGCATTTCACATCAAACCACTCTAAATGGTTTTGTTAGCATTTTTAGCATTTTATTATGCAAATGAGTAGAATTCCCAATTAAAACATGTCAGACTACTAAGCTTCATGCACACATATTTAGCAGGTGGTTCAGAATTTACAGAGAGACCCTAGCCAAGAGCTGAATGCGCCCTTATGTTTGCATGCCTGTGTGGCTACAGGGGAGCTTCCCTCATGCATCTCCACCCTGCAGAATGTGTGCTGCGAAGGAATGCGAAAGCTCCTGTGAGCCTAATGAGAGAAACACACCCACAGCCAAACCACATTTGCAAGAAAAAGCAAGTTTTGGATTCTTCGCAACATGTTGTGTGTACGATGAACTTCAAACATCAAGGAGAAGCTCTGTCTTCTCAAACATTTCTCCTGTGGTCTCATAAAATTATTCCTAATTTACTGTAAATCAAGCAATTGCTGTAAATGAAGCAGTGTAACTCTAGATTGACCACAGTGCAGGGCTTGGCTGATTCTGAAATTATAGTGTTTGGTGGAATTTCATAAATTTGAAAGTTATTCTGCTTAAAAGTTTAAGATATAAACAAAGTCTTTCACAATGGTTTGAATGTGAAATGCTTAGTTCTAGAGAAACTTACTGAGTCATATTTGTTCACAGTGGTGATGATAGGAACCAGATGTCTGCAGACTTTTAACGCCTCTGAAAGCTACCTCAAGTAAAACTGTTGCATGAAATGGTATTGCAAGGCAAAATAGTCCCAAAGGAAATATCATTTTTCCAGATTTATCACTATTTTACCAATGTTACATTTAAAAACAGAAAAGATGTATAGACTTACTGGTCATTTAGGATTGTAAATAAATGCCTATATTTGAGTTACAGACATTGCGACCCCTGGTTCCAATCACCACCACTGTAAAGAAAAAATCTGCGTCAGTAAATTTGCCTACAATGCATGATTTCAAACCATGTCAAACGACTCTGAATAACTTTGTTTACATCTCAACAACTGAATTATGTGAAAACATGCTCAAAAAACTCCCCTTTAAAATTCCCCTTTCAGGTTTCCAAATGGTTCTTTGAACCAATCATCTTTATGGAAACAAAAGTGGACTATTGCATCACTTCAAAGAACCCCTTTTGGCATTCTTTTTTTTAAGAGCGTTTGGCCTCTTTCCTCACTCTGCATCAAAAATCCTGACCTTTGAAGTATAAACGCCTTAAACTTCGAAGTGAGGAAGCTGTGGCTTTGTTTCATCTCATTGCCACATTCATAGCAGCCAGTAGTTCCCTGCACAGCAGTGTCCCTGGAAGGTCTTTCTGACACACAGTGATGGACGGTGACTCTACCTCCCAACTGCCCTCTCTGCCCACCCCTGTACCGTAGCCATCCATGGGGGAGGTTCAAGAGCAGTGTGGCAGTCCACTCTTCAGCTCATACAGGACCACAAACTGTCCACATGTGAAAATGACCTTCACTGCCACTGTACCACACTAAACAGGCTTCAAACACACATGAAGGCCTTTTGAATACATTGAACAGTTTCAGTTCATCCCTGCATAGAATTGCAAATGCATTGTACCCTTGAAATATTGTTGAACATACTAAGTGATCATGATGAGAAAATGTTTTCTTAACAATAACGTATCACAGAAGATCCATATTTTGGTTCCCCAAATCTTTCAATGGACACTTGTTCAGATATAGGATGCAAATGCTGCAAAGGATATTTTTGGCAGTATTTCACCTCATGTTGCTCTTTGTCAACCTAGCTAACAAAGAAATAATACCATTACTATTATGGAGAGTAAATCTATATTTGACTGTATTTCACCATGTTTGGTATAAATCTACATACAAATGAATAACTCCCCCCATGTAGAGATGTAATAAAATAGGAAGTTGACATTAAAACCTAAAAAAAAAATCATTATTTCATTTGTCATTTCTTCCAACAAAGAGGGTAAACGCTACATTAATTTTAACACTAAAAAGGCAACTAAATACAACTGGAGTCACTTATACACTGCCAGTTTGGACACTCTTAATAGAATGTATATATATATATATATATATATATATATATATATATATATATATATGTATATATATATATATATATATATATATGTATATATATATATAAAATAAAAAATAGAAAATGGAAATTAAATATATACACAGTGTGCAAAAGTCCGAGACCACCCTTTGTTTATATTATTTCCTGTCAAAACCGCCATTAAATAAGCTATTAAGATATTGTAGAGATATTATGGAGGAGATTAGATATAAGATAATGGACTTGCATATAGAAGAGGAAAGACAAAGGACAATAGGTGGACAGCATGGAAGGCTTTCACCTTTGAAAGAGAGGAGAAAATCATGCTCCACTCCTGCTTCACCCTTGAAAAAATCTACAGGTGTTTCTGTCCATCCTTCCACTGTGAGAGGACAACTCAGCACTGTGAGCCTGAAATGACGTGCAGCTACCAAGAAGCTCTTACTGAGAAAAGGAAAGAGGAAAAAGTGTAAATCAAACAATGAAAACTGCTTATTTTCTCAGAATAGAATGACCACCCTAGAGTCCAGACAACATCACTGAATGTGATGGTGAGAAGCAGCAAACACAACCAACTTCTAAGACTGAACTTTGGAGGTATGGAAAAATATCCCTGCAGTTTTCTTTGAAAAACTGAAACAAGTCTGAAAATAATAGACCTCCACCAGCTTTTCAAAAATTCTACATAATTAATATGTTAAGAGGTAAACAAAGTCAGAGTGGTCTGGTGTGAAATGCTCTGCTCTAGAGAAACTTACAGAGTCAGAACTGTTCACAGTGGTGGTGATAGGAACCAGACGTCCACCTCTAAAAGCTCCCTCACAGAAAATTATTACATGAAATGGTTATGAATACACTGCCTGATGTCTGATACCTTGTTGTAGAGTAATTTTGGTCCAAAACGTATTTATTTATTTAAATCCATTCATGGTGGAGGGATAAATGTTCTGAGGCAAATAGTCACCACAAACTTTTTTTTACATTAACCACTATTTTACCATCAACGTTACCTTAAAAACCTGAAAAAAAACATGTAGGTTCGCTGGTGGTTTTGGATAGTGAATAAAATGGCTATATTGGTGTTGTAGACATTGCAACCCCTGATTCCTCTCATCACCACTGTAAAGAAGTCTTAGTTGGTAAGTTTCTGTGCTAATGAACCATTTCACATCAAACCACTCTGAATGACTTTGTTTACATCTCAAACACTAAATTTTACGGAACATTTGAAAAATCAGCAGAATTTCCTGTTAGAAGGGTGGAGGGTGGAAATGTTAAAATTAAACATGAAAATTATTTTTAATAGATTTCTTGACATTGAAAAATGAATACATTCAATGGCCATTATGAATGAAAATGAAATAAATGGGGGGTGATTTTATGTTATTTTAAATGCCCCCCAGTGGTTTTAAGCAACAGTTAAAACTCAGCATATGTGTATCTTCTTCAGCCCTGTTGGAAAACAATCTCAGGTGCCCCTCCCCCTTTTAAAGTTGCTGGAGAGAATCATAAAAAGTGTTTCAAAGCAAAGGGGTGGGGGGTATAAAAGAATTGAAAATGGAAGATATTTTGATTAGTTGAATTTGTTTATTTTTGTCTCTGCATATTCTATCATCTGTTATTTTCACTATTATTCTAAAATGTAGAAAATATTGAGAGTAAGAAAGCCTCTCTCTAGTAAGGTGTGTCCACTTTTGACTGATACTGTACTTAGTGCCCAGTTGTTTAGTAAAGGCTCATGTTTATTACGCAGGCGTTTTAAGTTTTAAGGAATCAGTGATGTTCAGCAAAACATCTGCAAACTGTTATTTGCAAAATCAAGTGTTGTGTTCTGTCCACAAACACAACTGTATGCCTCATAATGTGGGAAATATGTTTGATAGCCACCAGAAGGCGTTTTGACGGTTTTAATCTTCAATTATAGAGACCGCAAACTGTTTTAATTCAAATTACATTTCGGTGCCATATGTTCAGGGTGAGCCAACTCCTAATTGTTTTGTAGACGAGCTGAATTCTGATAGCAAAAAAATAATAATGTAATGAATTATAATTGTGGTTAATCGTCACAGTGAGCCTAAATACACTCTCCCTGAATTCCTGAATGGAATTTTCGGCTTTCATTGGTAAAAGCTCGACATTATCAGGAGGTTCTTTGTCTTAAAGAAACATATACTGAAATTTCTTTTGGGGAACCAAAGGTGGTAACGCTCTACCTTTCTAGCTAATATATTTTTGTGCTGTCCACAGCCAGAACATCACCAGCCTGCGGTCAGGATCCCCTCGGACAGGTGACCAGTGGACAGGGCAGGAGTGAGGACGCTTTTACGGGACAGGCCGGAGCTCCACGGACCAACTTCAGCACCAAGCAGCTGACGGAGCTGGAGAAGGAGTTCCACTTCAGCAGGTACCTGACGCGCGCGAGGCGGGTGGAGATCGCGAGCTCCCTGCAGCTCAGCGAAACCCAGGTGAAGATTTGGTTCCAGAACAGGCGCATGAAGCAGAAGAAACTGCAGAGGCAAGGGCTGGGACGGGGACACGAGCGCGCTCAGGACGTCCCGGACAGAGGAGCAGAGCCGTGCACCTCTCCAGAGAACAGTTAGGAAGAGTTTCAACGGAACTGGGAAATAAAAAGAAACAAACTAAAAAAAAAACAAAAAAAAACGAAAGCAATGATTTTAATAGAAAAAGAAAGTAAAGAAGTAAAAAAGGCGCGAAAAAAATCAAAAGCAGTGCTTTTAATACAAAAATCATCAAATCATCAAGAAGAATCTCGAAGATAGTCAAAGAGAAAAGTCAGACACTGATTTATTTATTTATTTATTTATTTATTTACTGGGAATTGTACGAATTGTTTAAATAAATCGAATGAAAAGGCTCGACTGGTGTCCGTGCTCACCTGTTGAAGTATTCAAAACGCTTATTTTTATGTAATATTATTTTTTTATACATATACACCCACGTTATTATTACTTAAATAATAATTGTGCGCAATTTTATTATTCACGTTTGTTTACTCATTGGCCCTTGTTATTTGTCGTTGCTGGCTGCTGCTGATTCACCTTCAGACCATATACTGTTCTTACTTTTCACCAAACTGACCTTTACAGTGGTCTTTATCGGGAAATCTTAAATCAAGGTTTAATAACTGTGGCAATCGGGGCGCTTCAAGCGTTTAAAATCATTTTCGAGCCTAAACAAACTAAATACAGGCGCTGCAAATAAATCACTGGGGTTAACATCCATAGACCCTAATAGAAAGACCCTCGAAACTCTGCTATTCTCTCATAACTCTTAATATTTACAAGAGCGCGTTCTGAGGGCTGAGCGATCCGGGTTAAACACCTTAAGTTATCTGCAGGTCTCATTCTTCACCCTTCATGTCGCCCATATCTCCACAGACAGCTCTAAAAATGAAGGACTGCTACATGAAACTGCAACATACGGGCTTATATAACGGATATATAATATATAACAGAATTATAAACATCAGGATTCTCTAAGCAGATCCAGATTTTATTTATGACCACGTCGAGACCACCACGGACACACACAAACAAACACACACATACACATTTGTTTATATATATATATATATATATATATATATATATATATATATATATTCTGTATGTATTGTATATAATAATAATACGGTCCCTCAGGTGTTACACATAGCACTGTGCAGAAGTTCTAGGCACTTGGGAAAAAATTATTTGCTTAGAAAAAACACAATTATCACAATAAACACAATTAATATTAATATAACAAATAGTGATTTGATATATGTCAGTCTGCTCGTTTTACCATTTCCAAACCCAGTAGCCCAGCACTATTTGTAGTTACCATCCAACACCTGGTTTGGCTAATCAATACTTCATTAAGTTAAATCAGGTGTGCTGCTGATGGAATCTAACCAATCTATGCGATGGCTGAGGGAAAGTCTGGACCCAAACCTTCCTTAGAAGTTTGTTCCTTAGCTCACAAGACATCAACTGCCTTTCTGTTATGAGAAATCCTTGTTGCTTTTTTACTGTATATACGCGTAGTTCCATCTATTGTAATGACATGGGATTTTTTTTACAAGCAAATTCGCATTTAGATCGCCAAGATAAACGGTTTTAAACAATATGTGTAAGTGCATAAAGTTTTTGCACATATGTATAGTATATTACACATATGTAGTATATATGTGTAATATTATTGTGACCTATGTGACTAATACTAATTATATAATAATAATAATTACACAGTACTTACATGTAAAAAATAATAAATGTTACAGTTAAATATGCATCATATATGAGTAAACGTCTAAATAAACGTATGTATACGTATATTAAATTACTATATATATATATATATGTGTGTGTGTGTGTGTGTGTGTGTGTGTGTGTGTGTGTGTGTGCATTGTAAAAAATGAAAAATAGCTCATCAGATCAACCTGAAAAAATGACTTGTGGTAACATGCAATTGAACTATTCAACTCAAAGAACTGCACTGATTGAAAGAATAGTTAAACTAAAAAACTAGTTAATTTATTTATTCATTTCACTTTTTCTAAATGAAAGACGCAGTTTTTAATCAAATGCACTTTTCAGAAAAATTGTACAACCTCTTTTGAAACTCTGCAGTTGCCCCTGATATCGTATGTTACCGGTTTTGTCCTGAAACTGCATGAAAACAAACACGCACAGACAGTGGCGCGCGCGGCAGGTAGTTTCCTGTATGTTGTGCGTGTCATGTTCACGCTGCCAGTGCTTTTATCTGCGAATAAAAAGCGCTGCAACATGATCGGTGCTCCTCGTCTTTCTAACTAATGGCCAAACGCTGTCACCGTGCTAAGTGCCTCCACTTAGCCGCGGATTTCCAGCTATTTATGGCCAGAACGGGTTCAGCCGAGTGCCACGGGTTGAACCTGCTCCGATACCAACTCTTCATTCTGATGACATCAAAGCCCATGAAGGGAGATGAAGAGTGTTAGAAGAAGAATGAAGTGAGAGAGGAAACTCTCAGCCGTTCACCTCTGTCCTCCGCAACAAGAGGAGAGACTGTTCAGACCTGCTGGGCTGACTGTAACGTCCCTGCAGAGCTACTCAAGCTCAACTCTTTATACAGCTTTAAAATGAATTTTACAGATTCAAAAAATTATTTTGCAAAAAATTAAAACTAATTTGTATAAAAACGTATTTTATTTTATTTTGCTCGTAAATGCTGCTTAATATTGTACGGTTTCCAACATAAGCACTGAAATAATTGCTGGTATTATCTCATGAGCACACGAGGCTTATCATGATTTATGGCTAATAGATTTATTGACAGGTGGGTTAAGTATATTGACTTTGAATTGATTTGGTTTGATGGGCTGAATGCTCTCAGCTCGGGCAGTAAAAGAACATAATACTGCAGGAAAATGGGCACTTCTCATAATAACTATAGAGACAGTACAATTTACCATTCGCAGCTTTAAACAATGCAAATGTGATCCGTGTGACGGAAAAAATCGCTTTCCGTATTTCTGTCTCCTTAAATAAACCTATAAGCGGTTTAACGTGCATGTTAAAAGAAATATTAACAAAAATATCACGCTATTATTTTTTTAAGTAAAGTCAATTATTTGTATTTTAAATATATGGTGGGAGTTGATTTCAAGAGGGTAAAGCTATTTGTCAAAAGAAAATATTTTAACGTCTCGTGCCTCATAAAACGGACTGCATTTTATTAAACAAGCAAAACATGACTGAATTAATGTTTACAGTCAGGAATTGTAGGATAAAGCACCAATTAAAAATTGGACTGTGAGATGTTTTGCGAGGGAAACCAATCCATGCTTTATCTAGAGTTTATCAAGAAAAAATCAAAAGCATAATGGAGCTGTTGTTGAGCATTGTTAAATATTTTGTATTGAGGTACACAGTCTATACTGAAGCATGTGGATTATGTTGAGGTATATGCTCTATTGAGGTATACATGATCTACTGAGGTATATAGTGTTTTTTGAGGTATATAGTGTTCTGAGGTATGTGTACTAGGCTGAGTTAAAAATGCTGTATTGCAGTATATGTGCTATATTGAGGTATATATGCTGTATTGGGGTATTTATGCTTTATTGAGGTGTACAGGCTGTATTTAAGTATATAGACTTGACTGAGGTCTATAGGCTGTACTGAGGTAAAAAGCCTATATTGTCATATACAAAATGTTTTGAGGTATATATACTGGATTGAGGCATAGAGACTATATTGAGGTATATATACTTTATTGAGGTATACAAAACGTATTGAGGTATAAAGCCTGTATCAAAGTGTATATACTGTATTGAGATATGCTCTATTGAGCTATGTGCGTTGTATTGAGATATATAGGCTATATTGAGGTATATAGGCGGTGTTGAGCTGTATATCTTGTATTGAGGTATACATGTTGTATTAAGGTAATCAGGTTGCATTGAGGTATATAAGCTGTATTGAGGTATATGGGCTGTATTGAGGTATATAAGCTGCATTGAGGTATATGGGTTGTATTGAGGTATATCGGTTTGGACGTGCTGCTTTGCCTTATTAGGCGCCTCGCCTACCTCTGCTTGCTAATGTATGCACTTACTCCACAGTTCACCTTTCACCTCTTGACCTCTGCTTTGCCTCGGGACAGCAGTGACCCGGTCAGTGCCTCACTGACAGAAGGCTCCATTATTAATCTGTGCTGCGCGTCCTTGGAGGACGTTTCCACTCTATTAGAATGGCCTCAGAAATAGTTGATGTGATTAAAGTCCTATTAAAACTTCTATTAAATCATAGATTTACATGACAAAATACTGATGATAAAATACTGTACACTGTAATACGCTGTTAAAAAGTTACTTACCGGGATGCCTCAAAACTAACAGGAAGTTAACAGAACAAGAATCTTTATCTCATTAAATTATTGGAAATTCATTTAATTAAAAATTTGAAGGCATCCGTTAACTAACGTTTTATATTTTAAGTTCATACATTTTTTGTAGTGTAATAATAGAAAGAAGCAGAAATAATCCCACCTATTATTGTTTTGATGTTGTTGTCAGATTACTTATTATTACACTATTATATACTGTATTGTCATTGTTAAAAAATAATAGTACCAGTGTTATTATTGTTATTACCATTAATAATAATAATAATAATAATAATAATAATAATAGATATCGTTATTGCTATCGTAGCAGTATTTGTAGGCTTTTGTGATCATGTTCAGTCATATGCTCTTAGATTAATTTTTTTCTCATAATCGAAGTTTTAATTGTTCATAACTTCCTGAAGTTATAAGGCAACTGAGTCACCAAACTGAAAAAAATAAATAATAAGTGTTATTATTGCTATTACTATTATTTGATGGTGATGGTAATAATAATAATAATAATAATAATAATAATAGATATCGTTATTGCTATTTTAGCAGTATTTGTAGGCTTTTTATTATCATGTTCTGTCAAGCCCGCTTATTTTCATCTTTGCTTATAATCGAAGTTGTAGTTGTTCATAACTTTCTGAAGTTTAACTTCTGAAGGCAGCTGCGTCAGAAACTGATATATCAAACATTTTTTCCCAATGTAGGACAATTTTAG